ATTGGAGCACATTATATAAAATGAAAGCTCTAGCACAAAGGAAAAATACTTGTTCTCGGTCCTTAATAGAAGTTTAAAATTTGATGTAATAGGCATAATGGGATAACTACTGGTGTTACAATGGACATTGGAAAGGAGATAGAAGAAAGGAAGATGACATGTAGCAAAATAGAGCTAGACAAGAATAATAAGCTTTATTATTTTGTTGTACATTAGGATGAGAGTAAATTTCAATAATTTACCATATTTTATAGAAAATTAGGATGAATTTATTGTGAGTCTTAACATAAACACATAATCACTAGTTAAGGAGATAAAAATGCTAATTACTCTCATTTGGTAACACAGAATGTATTATCACACTCGCTTCATAAATATTTGTAATTATTATGACAATTATAATGTCTGTCAGTATCAATTTGAAAGAATGGAATACTCATATTTGCCAATCTGAGTACAGAGTTGTACAAACAACATTTCACATTCACTACGATACCATCATCAAAAAGGCTAACACAAAATTTTGTAGTGTTGTATCTGAGATACCTTTATACTCTGACAGATTATAAAATTTCCTAACATGACTGCAAAAACTGCTTCAGAATCTTATAAACAAATACCAGGTCTTTGACCTTACCATTCACCCCTAGTAATTTAGCTAAAATAAATGAAAGCATATGTTAAGAGGGACAAGGAAAGGAATTTACTAATAGCACTGAGTTATGACTTTCTCAGATGATAATTGGTAATAGTTTAAATGAATTGTGGTGTTGTAAAGACAATTCTGTAATTTTCTGAGTTAGATAACAAATTTCCAACAGGTACAAAATGTCTGCATCTTTTAAAAGCACATCAAACAACAAAATCTTAGAAAAACAATATATACATACTAGTTGCATTTATGAAAATAGAGTACTGGCTAAACAAACTGAACACAAAAGAAGTTGAAATGTTTTCTTATGAATGTAGAAAATGGATATAGTGGCAAATGAGAATTCTCCTTAATGATGAAAATATCCTTTGAATGTTAGATTCTACATAAATAAGTTTAAAATTTATTTTAAACTTGTGCATTTTATTGGAGGGTAGGGTAATTACATAAAAATTTTTCAGGGTTTGGGCATCACTACATTAGTGATTAAGATTTTTGGCTTTCGCTACAAGCAGACTGCATTCTACTCTGTATTGCCAAATCTTAAGCAAGTAAATAAATATTCTGATCCTACACTCTTTGTATACAAAATGAAACTAAATCCTTAAGTATTTGTTTTAAACAACTAATGGTATATATAAAGATTGGAGGGCAATGTTTTATCAAATAGCAATAAGTCAGTAAATAATAAGTTTGCTATCTTAATGAAACCTTTATAATTTTTCTTTCAACTATTTTTATGTCTGGTATCTTGAGTGTTGGAGTGTTGTGGGTTGGTTTTTTTTTTTTTCCTTACACAATCTATTTGAAGAGCACTGAAGAGTCTTTCCCAGCTTTGTTGTTGTTGTCTTTTCTTTTCACTGATGTACTTTTAGCACGACAGAATGCACTTCTTATGTCCCAAGCAGAAATGAATACTTGCTTATTTGTATAAATTATGAGCAATATGTTTTTCCAGAGTGGCACCAAAATCGTCATGTTAATAACTGTGTGGAATGAACAATAAGATCTTGCATAAGAGTTTTTGTTTATAATTTTATATATAGCACACTTCTAGGCATTCAGTCAATATTTGACACAACATATTTCATAAACGAGTGATTTGTGAGTTTCTGAAAACCACAACTTACTTCCCTCACTTCTGAATATTTATACATAGTCTACCACCTTAATGGGAGGCACAGAAAATCAGCTTTGGTTCTCACAGCTTTCGTCCACATCCCCTACTGACCACTCAGTGTTCTCAGTGTTAACTAGTGTGCCAAAGTAAAGTTCCAAACAGCTTTCAAATCAAACACCTCTTTTGATGCAAAGGTGAATTTTCTTTCTTTCTTTTGTCAACTATTTTTTTTCACATTATACACTGACTTAAGTCACTTTAAAAACAGAGAGATGCCAAAATTCAATGAACGTTTCACATTCATATTAATTGTGTTCTTTATGATTATTATTATTTTTTTAATTTTCAAGGTCTTCTTGAGGAGGTGTAACTCTTGGCTAAGAATTATTTTGGGAAAATGCTGCACTTGCATAAAAAAGGCTAGTCAGAGACCCTGGAAGCTAGCAGATTTTACAAAGAGAAAAGGAACTCAGAATTGTGGAGCAGATATCTCTCTAGTCTGGAGATACTTGAATTTTTATGTTTTAACAAGGTCAGTTTTCAGAAGGGACTCATATAGTCCTTGGTGTCTATGTATGATTTGAGATGGAGAGCATTAATTGCTCAGCATAGACATATCTGTATTTTAGGAAGTGATCACCTTTATCAGCCCCTCTACAATCATCACCAAATTCTCCATCCTCAAATATTTCTGTTGTTGATATATATTACTAAGGAGCAACCCCTTCACAGGTTGTGATTTGTTTATTTATCATCTGTTTTTAATTATACACATATGTTTTTCTTTGTCATCCTGAATCATTCCTAATCATTTCTTTGTGGCTTGTATATTGTTTGTTGACATAATTGGATGATCTTTCCATAATATAGGGTTTCTGGGAGTCGATATGCTATGGTGGAACTACTCATTGACTTCCAAGTCAGTGAGAATAACCATACCCTACTGAAAATCATTTGCCATGTGGGGTGACCTACACTTTGGCAGACTGAAACCCAAATCTGTCACAATTCTAGAAAACAAGTTGTTAGTGGGAGAACTTATTCTGTTGTGTTTATTTATGTGAGTTAGCATATGAGGAAAATTAACCAATTTTCATCAAACCACCCACAGAAACTACCATGTGGCAGAGCTAATATTAGAGAAGAAAAGAGTTGTGTGTTTATAGTTTGTTCTTCTCAAAGGAGTCTAACCCCTATGTCACAATTCCTGTATGGATGGAAGCTATGAACCTATGGTGAGGACTGAAAACCACGACAGTATTCCAGTGTTCTTTCTACAGAAGGCTGTTTCCGTTTTGGATGGAACCTGCTTTAGCCTGTACCCAAAAGTGATAGATCATCATGCCGGTGTAACATGTTTTCAATGGTCAGATAGTCTCTGAAATATAACTCCCAAATTCTTCGTTAATTATTTAAGAAATAGTAGTCCTGGAGCACATTTCTTCTTTAGGGCCAGCAAATAAAAATATTTGAGGAACTTTTATTTAGGGTCTCTTAAGGGTGGGGCGCAGCCTTCATCATTCTTTTCTGCCCCCTTGTGGTTTTCTTTCTTCACATTGGACTCATACCCTAGGCTGAAAAATGCCCCTTCTAAAAGAACTATAATGTTAATCAACGTCTAAATATCCAGAAAATTCCCCAACTAAACTGAGATTGCCACTTAATATTCGGGAGAAAGAATGCCAACACAGAGTAATTTTGATGTTTTCTTCTTTATCTGTTAACATGGCATATGTCCTATTATTGAGCTGATTTTCCAGAACGCTTTTCTTGTATTTATTTTTCTGGAAATATTTTGAAGTATTCCTAGCCTGTTTTCTAATTTCTGGCACACTGCTTCATTTTTGATTTTCACAATGTCTCTTACACTCTATGGTTTCATCTCACCCAATCCAAAAGTGGATTCTTCCATTTTTAAAATTGCTGCCTCCATGAATTTAATTAACTTCCAAGATTCCTTTTTCTTTCCTCTCTAATTGGTTCATCTTTTCTCTCCCTGTATATACAATGTAGTCAGTATTCTTATAGATGCGCTTGATTTTTTTTTTCACTCTAAACACACTCTTCTGCAAATATGTTCAACACTGCTGCCCTGTTTTGCTAAAGAATGGGCAAACTTGATTCCCAGATCCTCTTACTTAATTCCACTATATGAGAGCACCTAGGATATCTCTGGTTGACTGACCAATGTCTTGGAAAGTACTCATCAATCCCTCTTATCCCCCGCTTCCTGCCCTTCATGTCCCTGACAGAATAAACTACTCCAGGAAATTCACACTTTTCAAAGACAGATACCTGGCTATATTCTCACCCGCCACCCCCGTTTTCGTACACCTTCATTAGATTGTAAGAGCTGTCTGTTATAGCTCTGTCCCTCTTACGTCAATATGCTTCATTTCTGAGCTCAGACCACACCACCACCCCCACCTTTGGACATGTTCCATGTTACAAGTGGTCTGTTCCCACTTCATAGTGCAGCACAATGATTGTTTTTTAAGTATAAATCTGTCCCTGTCGCTTGTCTATATAAACTCATGATTAAAGAAGCTAAACTAGCCGAGTTGGGGGGCTATAGAGCAAAAGAAGGGATCTTGTGTCATTCAGGACTTTAGTAGACGCCCCTCTGCACAATCCACTTGTGGTGGTCGGGGGCGTGGAAGGGGCGGGATTGACCCCCCCCCTCCTCCTTCTTACTGCAGAGAGCTGCAGAGCCAGTCTGCACTCACTGCGAGCTGGGAGCTGGGAGCTGAAAGCTGCGGTGGCGGAGTAAGCCAGGCAGTAGCACTTGGCTGAGAGCTACCAAGGAAGCTTGGCTGAGAACTGCGGTGTCTGCCAGCCAGCGCTCGCTGAGAGCTACGGAGGGTGCCAGCCAGGTAAAGCTCCCTGAAAGCGGCGGCTAGAGCCCGCCAGCGCTCGCTGAGAGCTGCGGCGAGAGCCCGCCAGCGCTCGCTAAGAGCTGCCCCGAGAGTCCGCAGCCCTCGCTGAGAGCTGCTAGGAAGCCGGCAGCCCTCGCTGAGAGCAGCGGAGAGAGTCCGCAGCCCTCGCTGAGA